ATAAAAATGCAAAAGAGTGTATGGGGAGCTGCTAAAAATGCAGGTGCCCGTCCCCCACCCAAGAGTGTGCCATAGTATGTCTGGACCAGGGCCCATGAATCTGTTAGAAATGAGCACCCCAGAGGCATGTGCTGCCTGCCAGACTCAGGAACCGTTCCCTTAGCAGATGGTCACCCAACACCTCTGCGCTAGGTGCTGGGCTGAGCGCTGGCACCATGGCTGCAAATGGAGCCTCATCAGGGCCCATGGTCAGGCTTGTGCCTCAGCTCATCCCTCCTCAGAGCAGCCCTTTGAGGTCAGCATAGGAAGCACTTGGATCATTAGTTCCATTTTACAAGGGGGGAAGTGCAGGCACAGAGAGGTTCTTTGACCAGCCTAAGGTCACACAACCTGTAATAGCAGCTTCCCCTGGGATCCCACCCCACGCCCAGCTGTCTCTGCCCTCCAGGCCTCAGTCTCTCTATCAAACCAAGGGCTTGGACTCCCTTAGAGCATTTCCAACTCTGGATGCTGCAAGTCTGTGAAAGTTCCCAAATCTCTGCCACTTTTCTGAGAGCGACAGTGGCTGAGAAGAGAAAAATTCCCATTTAATGAACATTTGCCACATGTCTTGTCATTTAATTCCCACGAGATCCAATTTACAAATGGGGAAACTGTATCTCAGAAGTTATCTGCTCAAGGTCACCAGCCGGTGGGCTGGGGAGCTGGGACCCGCCAGGCTCCAAAGCCCAATCTCTTAACCTTGTTGCAGAAGTGGCTCTAGCCGTTCAGCAGGTGTGGTGTGTTCCTGCTGAGCCCCCAGCCCCTGTCCAGCCTCCTAGAGCCTGGCAGTCTGGTTGAGGCAACAGAAAGAGCCCAGTGAGCTGAGTGGGGCAGAGGTCAGGCCAGGCTCTGGTGGGGCAGCCCCCAGACCTCGCACCTCTGCCTTGTAGCTGGGGCCCGGCGCCTGAAGCAGCTGCTCAGCTTTGCCTTGGGAGGACTCTTGGGCAATGTGTTCCTGCACCTGCTACCCGAGGCCTGGGCTTACACATGCAGCGCCAGCCCTGGTGAGTGAGGCCACAGGCCATGGAGGAGAGGGCAGGAGTAGGCAGCTGGTGCCCATGCCCAGGGATGGCCTGGGCCCTGCCTGCTCTGCCAGGATGACTGGGAGAGCGCTTTTGGGTGTCTGGCTGGAACTTGCCGGGGGGGAGGACCATTGTCCTCCTAGTGCCCTGGCCCCTTTGGGGGTCCTGGGGCCCAGCTGCCCAACCAGCCAGTCCTAGCCCCCTGCCCCTGTCACTGCAGTGGACTAGATCCCATTCCAGATGGCCCCCTCCTATGGCCCTGGCTTGGCCTGGCCCATCAGTGCTGCCCCCTGCAGGTGGTGAGGGGCAGAGCCTGCAGCAGCAACAGCAGCTGGGGCTGTGGGTCATCGCTGGCATCCTGACCTTCCTGGTGTTGGAGAAGATGTTCCTGGACAGCAAGGAGAGGGAGAGGACCAGCCAGGTGAGCCCCAGACCCCAGGACCTGGATACATCAGCCTCTGTTCTGCCCAGGTGGTGGTGCCCAGGGCCTGGAGGCCCAGGTTCTGAGTCGAGCCCTCATCTTAGCCCTCTTTCCTGGGAGCTGTGGGAGGCTGGGCCATCACTTTGGGGAGTGATGGCATCAGCCCCTGCTTTGGCTCGTTCTGGTAGACTGATCATGACTGCAGTGTGGGTGTTGGCTTTGTTGAGCTTGTGGGTACCCAGCTGACCAAGGAGCAAAGTCTAGCCAGATAGGAGAGGTGTTCCTAGTTCTCCACCTCTCACTCCCCTTCTGTGTCTACCAGAAGTTGAGGGGGCATCTAATGTTACCTCTCCTTCCTTCTCCTGGCCCTAGGCCCCCTCCAAAGACCCCTCTACTGCTGCCTCTGCCGCCGCCACACTCAATGGAGGCCGCTGTCTGGCCCAGCGGGCTGCAGAGCCTGGCCTCGGTGTGGTGGTCCGGAGCATCAAAGTGAGTGGCCCGCTCAGGAATCCCACCCTGGAATCCCACCCCACCACCCAGCTGCCACACAGTCCCTAGTGGCCAGCCTGGCTCAGCCCTACCCGCCTGGCTCAGCCTGGCGCTCTCTCTTCCCTCCCAGGTCAGTGGCTATCTCAACCTGCTGGCCAACACCATCGACAACTTCACTCATGGGCTGGCCGTTGCTGCCAGCTTCCTTGTGAGCAAGAAGGTGAGGGGGGGTTGGGCAGGTGGGCTCAGGCAATTCTGGTGGCCCCTGTGTTGACTAGTTGGTTCTACCTACTTCTTGCTTCTCCCATTACCAGCACCCTCATCTAAGCACCAGCCCCCATCCTCCCTGCTGCTGTCCTGGACGCTGCCAGAGCCTCCTGGTTGGTGTCCCTGCACCTTCTTTCGTCCCGAGCCACTGGTCTGTTCTTGTTTCCAACACTCCTTGTTGGAATGCCTCTATCAAGCTGCTAGATGTTTGTCCCCCCGCCTCCCTCTGCCCTCTGTGCCCTGGCCGTGGTCTTCCTACTCTTCAACTGGCCAAGCTCTTTCCCACCTCACAGTTCCCTCTGCCTGGAATGTTCTTCCACCCACGCCTTAAACGGCTGACTGCTCGTCCTTCAAGCCTCAGCATAAATGCACTTTTTCAAAGAGGCCTCTGCTGACCGCCTCATCTAAAATAGGTCCCTGTTATTCCCGCCCCAGGACACCCGGTCCATCCTTGCCTTCACAGCACCTGCTGCTGTGTGTGCGCACGGTTCTGGGTGTGTCCCAGAACCTGTCTCTCCCCTCTAGACTGTTAGCTTCACGAGGGCAGGTGTCTGGTCCCCTTTAGTCCCTGCTATATTTCCAGTAGCCAACACAGAGTGAATCTCTGTAGAATGAGTGGGCAAGTGGGGTGCCCAGGCCCTGACACAGACCCCGCAGACTCAGGCTCCCCTCCCTGCAGATCGGGCTCCTGACGACCGTGGCCATCCTCCTGCATGAGATCCCCCATGAGGTGAGCGCTCAGAGGGCAGCCTCAAGGGGCCCAGGACCAAAGGGGTCCCATGGCCAGCATGGGTGTGGAGCTTGGGGAGGGCTTTAGGGTGGGCCTGCCTGGCAGTGGCAGGCTGGGGGCTGGGCTGTGTGGGCCTGGAGCATCTCACCCCACAGGCTGCAGCCGCCATCTCTGCCACACTCCTGCCTCTTCTGGATGGGGGTCCCAGGGACGGGGCAGGGCAGGGGGCTTGGTGTGTGTGTCTGTACATGAAGTGCTCAGGGGATCTGGGCCAGCTGGGGCGCAGGGTGAACATCTGGACCTCCCCTCAGGTGGGCGATTTTGCCATCCTGCTCCGGGCTGGCTTTGACCGATGGAGCGCAGCCAAGCTGCAACTCTCAACGGCGCTGGGGGGCCTGCTGGGCGCCTGCTTTGCCATCTGTACGCAGTCTCCCAAGGGAGTAGGTACGGGCGTGGAGGGTGGTGGCAGCAGGTGGTGGTCAGCAGAGGGGAGCCAACCAAAGGGCGTGGCTGCCCTGCTGCTGGTATCCAGGCCGGGGGCTGCCCTGGTCTCCCCTGCGGGAGGCAGTGGAACACTCACGGTCCCCTGGGTTCTCCTCCCACTGCAGAGGAGACGGTGGCCTGGATCCTGCCCTTCACCTCTGGCGGCTTTCTCTATATTGCCCTGGTGAACGTGCTGCCCGACCTCTTGGAGGAGGATGACCCGTGGTGAGTGACCTACTGACAGCCACTTACAGTGCCCTTAGGGGCCCAAGAGGGGGAGCTTCTGGCTGCTGCCCGCTCCCCCGGCCAGTGCCACCACCGTGAGCCCCGGCCCCTCTCCCCACAGGCACTCGCTGCAGCAGGTGCTTCTGCTCTGCACGGGCATCGTGGTGATGGTGCTGTTCTCGCTCTTCGTCGAATAACCATCCCTGACGCCCCCACCCCCTGAAAAGCAATAAGAGACTCGGATTCACTCTGTGACCGTGTATGTGAGAGGCCGAGAAGGCGAGTGCCTGTGAGAGAGAATGAGCCTCTGACCAGACAGGAGGGAGGGGTGTGTGTGTGTGTGTGTGCGCGCGCGCGTGTGTGTGGTGTGCACATGTGGGCAGAGGCGCGTGTGCGAGACCGACACTGTGATCCTCGTGCGCTGGGCCCAGGGCGCAGTGCAGTGCCTGCCCCAGTCAGGCTGTGTCATCTCTCCTTGCCACCCTGTCATCTTGCACCCCCAGAGTGAGCAGCAGCACTGGCCCCAAGCAGAGGCCTCACCCCACCGGAACCCCAGAAGGAGTGAGAACAGCCCAAGGAGCCCAGGGCTGCAGGGGACTCCCAAGCTGTCCTGCCTCCTGCTCCCCGCACCCCCGGCCTCTAGCCTGAGGGAGGAACCCCTCTGCTCATACACCCAGGCCCCAGGCAGCCTAGGTTGGAGTGGCTTCTCTCTGCTGTGTCCCTTTTCCCAGCCCTTCCTTCGCCACCTCGAAGCCAAAGAAAGGAAAGGCAGGTGCTCTTGTAGCCCCCCAGCCCCGCCCAGCACTGACAGTCCCAGCGCCAGCACTGAGCTGGGAGATGCTTTCTAAGACCTTTTCCTCAGGGCTGCCCGCCTAGGCCAGCTCCCGTTTGGCAGCACTGGCAACTCTTGCCACCTCCAGCTGCCAAACAGCAGCCTGCAGGGCAGCAAGCAGCCCCAGGCCAGCTCAGGGATGCTCCTGCCAGCACTGGGGCCGGGCGGAGACTCTGGGGGCCGGCAGAGGGGGAGCCCCGGCTGCCCTTCCCTGCCCGGGCCCCTTTCCTCTCCCACTGGGGTTGGGGTAAGGCAGGGGCGGTGAGGGCTCCGTTGTCAGCGCTCAGGAATGTGCTCTGGGAGAATGCTGAAGCCATAATCCCTAGCTATTTCCCTTGGCTGACGCCCAGGTACTCAGCTGGCCTGCTCCACAGCCAGGCTCCAGCCCTGCCCTTGACTGTGTTTTGGAAGTGGCTATCAAGAGGGTCTGAATGGTTTCATTAATATTATAGCAGTTTTGCTGTGGTTCTGTTTGTATCTGTAAGTACTTGTTCTATAGATAAGATACAAATAAATATTATCCACAAACTGGCTGCTTCTGTTCTGCACACCAGATTGCATGGCCGGGCAGGGCTTTCCCCAGTGCCCCAGCCAGAGCCTTGTCTCGGAACTGTCGCCCCTGCAGTGCATCTGGACATTTCCTGTGTTCCTGGCGGAACTTATCCCGATGATGGCTGAGCACTTACATGGGCCTGGCCCTATGCCATTTTAGCCCCTCACCACCCCTCAAGGACGTCGTCCTTATTTTTTTATTTTTATTGTTTTTGGAGACAGGGTCTCACTCTGTTGCCCAGGCTGGAATACAGTGGTATGATCATAGTTCACTGCAGCCTCAAACTCCTGAGCTCAAGCTATCCTCCCACCTCGGCCTCACAAGTAGCTGGGATTACAGGTGCACACCCCCACACCTGGCTAATTTTCCTATTTTGTAGAGACAGGATCTATGTTGCTCAGGCTGGTCTCGAACTCCTGACCTCAAGAGATCCTCTCGCCTCAGCCTCCCGAAGTGCTGGGGTTACAGGTATGAGCCACTGCACCCAAACTATATTATAGACAAAAACAAGCCAGGGCCTCTCCCCGCCCCCCCCCAATAAAGAAACGAACGAAGGAAGCGCCATCCACACAAACAAGCACAGCCAGGGCCGCACTCAATGAACATTCATTAAAAAAAAAAAAGGAAAGAGAAAATGAGATCCCTATTCTAAACCATATGCCTTCCCTTCCTCTGAATGTGCTGAGTATAACACCACCAGGCACCAGGGGGCACCACTTTCCCAGTGCTGTCTGGAGAAGGCGGGGAGGGGACTTTGGTCCACCCCTTTCCTCTCCTAGCTAACCAGGACAGCCCTCAGTAGCCCTATGGCCTGGATCACCAGTCTGGGCAGCGTCATGACATCTGGGATAGGTGGGTGGGAGACGAATCAGCGACATTCTCAGCTAGGAGTACTTGGCTTTCAGTATTTCTATCAGCAAAACATATAAAAGGGACAGAATATCTGCTTCATCTAATTGTGACTAACCAGTAAGATAACTGTCTCAAGGACCTGATGAGGTCTGGGCTTGAAAGATCTGAGGAACAAATTCAGGACTGTCTCCTACCTCAGCAGGTGCTCAGGCCTGCTCGCCATGGTGGCGAACCCTGCCAGGTGGCAGACAAAACACATGCCAGCAGCACACACAGCCCACTGAGGAAGGCAGGGGGCCCATTTTATGGATGAGGAAGCCAAGATGGGTGAGGGTGGTCCCTGTGGGGGAACTCAGGTGTCATGGCCAAGAGTGAGTGCCCTCCTTGGTTAGAAGAGGGAACAGGAACGCTAGAGTGGGGGAAGCTGAGTCCAGAGCAGGGGACGGAACTAGAAGCACTTCAGGGACGTGCTGCTGGGCTCCTGCAGCAGGGGCTGGGAAGTCAGTGGGAGTGCCAAGCTGAGCGCCATGACCCGGGGTGAGAAGCGAGGAAATCAGAGCCGAGAAGGAACAGGCCTGGCCAGGAGGGTCAGTGGCTTGCTGTGCTCATGTCCACATGGGGAGGGGAAAGAAAGGGGGAAAGGAGGAAGGAGCGGCGTAGGGGCTTTTGCCAGTGGGCAAGCGAGAGCTGAGTTCTGAAGGGCCATCACTTTGAAAGGCCAGCTGAGACCGCCAAAGTAGACTGGCTTCATTCCCAGTCCTGGCTTTTACTCCCAGCTGTGCCACCTACTAGTTGTGCGATCTCAGCCCAGTTGCTTAAATGCATCTATAAAATGGGGACACTCTATTAGTGGTTACCTGATAACTAGGTAAGATTACGCATTGAGACCTGCATGGCACACGGCCCAGTGAGCCTTCAGTGAGTGGCGACCACGCTAGCTGGGTGACAGGCTGGAGAGCTGGAAGGTTGGTGGTGCACCCGAGTGCCGGTGAGATCCTAAAGCAACTGTGACAAGATGTGGGGCCTGACGACAAGAAGGCAGAATGGGGAAGGGGGAGCCAGAACAGTGTGACAGAAGTCAGGCCTAGAAGGGCTCTCAGAGTGGATCCTGGTCCAGGCTCATTTTTCGGCCAGAAGAAATGGGCAGAGAGCTAATGGGGGCAAGTGGAGAAACAGGAGGCCCAGGGGCCAGGAAACAAGGGACGAGTTTGGACAGTCAAAGACCCAAAGCCTGGCTTTACAATGTGGCAGGGACTGGCGCCAGAGCACCAAAATGCAAAAAGAAGGGCACGGCTGGCTTCTATTTAGGCCCTTCATTCGGGAACTGCAGGGCCACAAGCCTCTGACAGCGCAGAGAGGGCAGTGAATATGGAGGGGGGCTCTCAGGTTGGGGAGGTCTGAAGGCCCTGGGCAACAGCTACAGCACCATGCTCTGGGGTGGGCCTCACCCTGACATGGGTTTGGAGCCCACGGCCATCTCCCAGATGTTTCCAGGCTGCAGCACCTGGGGAAGGTGCCTCCTGCACAACCCCCACTCCTCACCCAGAGCCCAGGGAAGGCGAGACAGCCAGTGGCAGGGATCCCAAACCATCTTTTATTATACATTTTAACCAGCAAGAGAGGGGAGGCAGGCCTGGGGCGCCCCTAGGCATAGTACTGCAGGTTGGCTTTCTTCTTGGCCTGCACCTCCAGGATGCCCTCCATGTAGTCCTCATGGGTGAGCTCCGTGGCACCCCTGCGCAGTGCGATCATGCCCTGCAGCCGGGACAGACAGAATCTAGGTGCCTCCCCGCAGAACCCCCAGCCCAGCTCCCAGAGGTATGGGCCTTCCCAGCCTTTCTCTCAGTTGTCTCCACCAGCCAAATGCCCCTGTCCTGCCTAGGGAAGGAGTAAGAAGGCAGGAAGTGACCCGCCCACCCCAGCTGACCACTCACCGCCTCCACACACACAGCCTTGCACTGGGCCCCGTTGAAGTCATCCGTACAGCGGGCCAGCTCCTCGTAGTTCACGTCAGGACTGGGGAGAGGACAGACGCCACAGGTTCAGTTGCCACGGGGAGGGGAGGGAGGGGCAGATATCCTCCCAGGCCCCCATAAAGCAGCAAAGTCAATTTTCCTGTGACCAGAGGCAAGTCCTTTACCTACTGAACCCTGTTTTCTTCTCAGTACAAGATGGAGGGGAAGAGGAGCAAGTTAAAGCAGGTTAGACCAGGACATCTTAGTCTCCTGAGCTCTGGCCTTCTAGAAATCTGCATCTGAGACTCCAGGGACTGGCTCGGCCTGAGGCAGGGGAGCAGGGGCTTGTGGAGACAAAAGATGGTCTCAACATTCCCCCTCCAGAGCGGCCCTGCATCCACAGTGCTGCTGCCGCTGTCCTCATTGTGTGCCGAAAACGGTGTGACGTCACATTTAATCCTTAGCTTGACGCCATGAAGTCGGTGCTATCACCCTCAAGTCCCAAATCAGAAAACTGTGGCTTAGAGAGGCTACCCTACCTGCTGAAAGTCATACAGATCTGAACGCAGGTCCACCTGGACCCCGGCTAGATTCCCTGGGCCATGCTTGGGCTGTGCTCATTTGCTGGGATGTGGGAAGTTGGGGATCTGAGCGCCTCTGGCCTGGAAGCCTTCAGATAGCGATGGGGGCTGGGCAGAGCAGGTGGAGTCTCAGGAGCAGAGCACCCAGAATTAGGGCCTGGGCCCCAGCAAGATTCTGTACCAGGCCACCGTGTGGAACAGCACTGCCTGTGCATGGGGAGCCGGAGGTGGTGGACTCAGAGGCTGGGCAAGCTCAGCACCAAGAAGGTGACAGGGACGCCCTTCTGCTGCCTGTTCAGGTCTCAGTGCCTTGCCCTCGTCCTACTCACCTGACGTTCATCTTTCGGGAGTGGATCTGCATAATTCTGGCCCGGGCCTCCTCGTTGGGCATTGGGAACTCGATCTTGCGGTCCAGGCGGCCTGAGCGGAGCAGGGCGGGGTCCAGGATGTCCACCCTGTTGGTGGCTGCAATTACCTGAGGAAGGGGAGAAGCAGCAACTTGAATCGAGGAGCAAGGCGTTCACAGACGAGCACAGTCACAGTCATAAAAGGCAGCCAGGCAGCCAGGGTGTGGGTGAGATACAGGGATGTTAGAGACAGAACCAAATTCTAATTCTGGCTCCACCACTCACAAGCTGGGTGACCTGAGACAGTCCTCTGACCTCTAAGCCTCATTTTCTTCATCTGGGAAATGAAAGTGATACTCACCTTTACTTGGGTGTTGGGCTGGAAGCCATCCAGCTGGTTCAGAAGCTCCAGCATTGTCCTCTGTACCTCCCGGTCCCCGGCCTTCTCGCTGTCAAAGCTGGGGCACACACAAGGCCCAGGACACTGGTGAGGCCACAGCTTGGGCAGAGCCCTCCCCTTCTCCACCCACCAGAAGCCTAACCCAACCTGTTCAAGATAGGGAAATGGTTCGCTCAACTTGGAGCCCCGAGCCCAGGGACAGGCACTAATATGGTGTCGCTAATTATGGACTGCAAAACTCGGAGACTGAAGAGGTACTGAGATCAGGTGCTGGGCTGAAGATAAAGCAGTGAGCAAAACCAGGCCTATCAGCCCAATGAATCTGTGGCTGCAAACTGAGCTAAAGCTTAGGAAGTGCCCCTAAGGCTGAGATATGAAAGCTGAAAACACCGTGGCTGGGAAACCAACCAGTGGAGGACAAGGAAAGAGCCAGAATGGGCCTAAAAACCAGGGGATACTGTGGAGGGTGTCCAGAGCAGGAGGCGGGGGTAGGTAGAAGCTGCCACACAGGGGCTTTGCGGGCCAGGGCAACTCCAGCATTTATCCCAAGGAACAAGAGGGAGGCCCAGGAAGGGTTTTAACAGGATCAGTCTGGGTGAGGGACTGTGAGTACACGCCAGTGAGGTGGCCAGATTTGTTCTGAAAGGACCATGCTGGCAGCTGTGAGGAGAATGGCCAGAGAAGCAGGGAGGCTGGTTAGGAGAGAATTTAGGGAAGTAGAGCCACAAGAACAGAGGAGCCATTGTCCCAGGGGGAGGAGGGGGCAGGGTGAAAAAGAGCTGGAATTTGGCACAATAGAGAGTCGGGACACTGCTAAGAGGTCTCCTGCTCCTC